AGAAGACAGGTGCAGCTCATGACTCAACAATATTCAGCAATACCCTGGCCACTCTAAGCAACTCTGAGGCCAGGCCACCTCATCTCACCTCACCTCACCTCACCTCATCATCACCAGCACTCTGGCCATCACCATCACAGGTCCGGCGGTCTCACCAGCCCATGATCATGTCGACGAGGAAGCGGCGCATGGGAGGCATGGAGCCCAGCACCTTCTCCTGCGGGGAGGTCAGCTTGGGCAGAGAGGACGTCCTGCGCATGCCCCCACTGCGCTGCAGCACATCCCCCTGCCACCTCGCCCGCAAGTCCCGCGTGGGGCCTTGAAGGTGAAAAGGTCGTTTCTACAAGGGATTGGCGGAAAGCAGGGAAGCAGGGAAGCAGGAGAAGGGGAAAGGAGTAAGCCGAGGGACAGCAGGGAAGCGCACGTGCATGCCTCTAGTGCGTTGCTGCGCATCCCCCTGCCACATATCCCGCCCCTATAATGGCCTAGAGAGGGAAGGAGGGACGGATGAAGGGGCGAGGGAAGGGCGTGGGAGTTGGGGAAAGAACAAGCACAGCATTGCGCGCCTAAGCACAGAACAAACTGTTAGTGACCTACCTCAGGCGTCAGCAGCTCGACTGCAGCAGCCATCGTCATGTTAATTCTCTGCTGCTGCTGATGCTGCTGCAGTGCGTCTGACGTTTGACCAGGTGCTACAGTATCAGCCCCGCCTTGCTGCTGCTGCTGCAGCGGCTGTGGCTGTGGCTGCTGCGTCTGCTGCGTCTGCTGCTGCCACTGCTGCTGCTGTTCGTGCAGAGGCAAATGGGAAACAGGAGGGCGGAGAGCAGGGGACTGAGAAGCAGCGGGGGAGGTGCGACCTAATACAGGGGAAGAAGATGGTACACGGATGGCAGGTGGGGACGGTAGAATCGGCGGAGGTGCAGGAGCAGCAGGGGTGGGTGACGATTGTACAGCAGGTGTTCCCGCAACAGCTCGAGATGATGCGGCGCCTCCTCTCTCTCCACCTTGCACTGCATGCCGTGCGCTCACTCTAGCCTGCTTCCGCCGCCGCTGCTCCTCCCGCTCCCCCTCCCCCCACTGCCCCTCCGCCTTCCCCCCGAACAGCTGCCTCGAAGTGCCTGGCCGCTCGTCAGGAACCGGGGAAACACTGCGCGCGCCCCCTCTCCCCGCCGCCTGCTCCGACAAACCCCTCTCCCCCGGCGTTTCTCTGCCTCTCCCGCCGTTCCTGCCCACGAACTGACGCTTGGGTCTGTGCTGGTAGCTGCCTAAGCTCCCTGACGGGGACTCAAGCGGGGTTCGAAACCCCTCCGTACCGCCAGAGCCAATGCCAGAGCTGTATCCGCTGCCCCTGCTGCTGCCGTCGCTGTCGCCGCTGGTGCCGCTACTCGTGGGAGAGCTCCCCACGTGAGCGCTGATATCGCTACCCTGACTCGTGGGACGCTGCCGCTGGCTCCGCGGTTGCTGCTGCTGCTGCTGCTGCTGGAAACGCTGCTCCCGCTCCTGTCCCCTTTGCCCGTACGGTGCTCCTTTAACCCGCGATGCCCCGCCGCTACCCCCTCCGCTGTTGCTGCTGCTCGGAACGGCGCCGATCCCCGGACGCACGAGGGCGTTCGGGTTCAGGGGAACTCCCGCTCCCCCCATCCCCATGCTTGACACTGTCGGCGGTTCCGACGCTCCTCCGGCGTTGCGCGGTGCAGCGTTCGCATTCCGATCCACTCGCCTGGCTGGGCTGGTGACGGCATACGCACCACGGCTTCGCGATTCACCCGGATGCTGACTCGTCGCCAGGAAATCGCTACGCCGAAGGCTTCGCGAGGGGGATTCCGGAATTACGGGAGGGGTGGAGCCTTGGCCAGAACCCTCGTCACCGCCACAGTCCTCGTGACCGGTATCATTCTCGGTAAACGATGCATACCGCCGGCCTGGAACAGGCGATAAGGCGTTGCAGAGGGTGGATGACGTGGCGGTCCAGAACCGCTGGAGAAGCGAGAGTGGCGCAGACGCCACGGTGGCGGAATTATTGTTAACGCGGAGAGTAAGATGTGGGAAGGCTGGGATGTATCGATTTATAAGAGACGCTTGACTGTTCAGCTGATCGATCCGAGAGGCAGAACTCCCAAGAACCGCTGCAGCCACCGAGCGAGTGGCCGAGCCGAGTCGCTGGGCTGGTGGGAATCCTCTTGGCGGTTGCATGTGACCTGCCCAGGGTGGTTCTGTACAATGTACGTCAATGTGGTGGGGGATGTGAAGTGGCAGTTTGTGGTGTCTGCTGATGATAGGGTTGTGTTGGTGGTGGTGGTGAGAAAAATGGCGGGATGGTGTCAGGATGACGCCGAGTCCTCTTGGTGGCAGATGGCCCGTAACAATATTTAACAAAGTTGATAGAAACCAGTTGACAAAGATAATGTCGTCATGGTAGACTGAATGGCTAGCCAGATTGCAGATGAAAACACTCGACAAGAATATAGGGTGCTACGAGATGGAAGTGAATAGACGTACATGTTGCAACAAGGTAATTTGTGGTCAATTTCAATCAACATACTCACATACACATGACAAGAAACAAGATTGAATGCCTTCCTGGTTGTTTTTGCCCGTGCAACATAGGCCCCTACAGTTATATTTTTTAGTATTTGTTTGTGTAATATTTGTGATTGCAATTGTAACATGTGTTGTATTCTTTCGCGGCTTCCCACCTGACATACCCGCAGGAAGGTGTTCCTCCTGACACTGACAAGTCTGATTGCCTGTGTCAGCAGGATCTTCCTGCTAGCGCGCTTCCTCTGTTGACTAGCACATTTCAGACTTCGCACTTGGATCTTTTATTGTCCAGACTCTGCTGCCTGGTACACTTCGAGGCTGTGAGGATGGAAGCCGAGTCAGCTGATGCTAACGATGCAAACCAGTCTTATCTCACTCCCGCTCCCGCTCATAGGCATCCGCGAAGAAGATCGTTGAGTATCGATGAAGAGCTTCTTCACAATATGCGGTTATGGAAGAGTTCACCAAGGCATGGGGGAAAAGGTCCTAGTCAAGAGGACAATGACACAGATTTCATGAAAAACTTTGGAACCAGCCAGAGCAATGAACGATTTGACGATTTATTTGGACGCATATCCTTGGAAGACGGCAAGACCCCTTCAAACTGGTAATGATCATTTTGTAATGTTCGAATCGTCTTGGAGAAAATTGTGCCTAAACGCAAACGCTGCAGGCTGTATGTTCCATTCGAAGATCAAGAGCAGTGCTTTGCAAGCTCGATGAGCCGAGGATCTGGAGGGTCCCCTTCAGCGGTCAGGAGGCTAAGCATGACTGGAAAGGCAAGCGTTCCGGACTTCCGCAGTTGAAGCCTTCATTAGTCAGTAGAGACTTTATCTGTCTGATGTCTCCTCCTTTAATTCTCTCAGGAGGCGACTACAACTGTGAACAACGATACGACTGCTTCCAACAGCGTTCCTCGTGAATCGTATGCCTCCAAGTCAGCCATACCCTCCATAAGAGACCGGAAATTAGAGAAGCGTGGTGTTGCTGAGTCTGAAGGTATCCTCGCTGGCAAACCCTCCATGTTGCCGCGACCGCGTGTATCTCCTCGGTCTGTTGGTCTCCGTAAAGGGTCATTTCCAGATCCCCCACCTCTGTCCCCTGGCGTAGCATCACCAAGCTCCAAGCCATCCTCCATCCCGAAGCCCCCAAGGATCGTACGGCCCAGAGTTGTATCATCTGCTGGTTCTCTCATCCCTTCTCCGTCGCGAATTCCTCGCTTGACCCGAAAGAATTTGCCTACAGCTCCTCTTGAACGTCAAGTCCAGAAGGAAAAGAATTCAAAAGCTTCTAAGGCTCCGTCAGTGGAGGTCAAGCAGGGAAAATACAACAATCTGCTGGGAAGGTCAAGGCTGCCTACGGATCCCAGCGCGAGTGATGGTGGCGTATCACAGGCCCAGCATAGGACGTCCGATCGAAGGGCTACAGAAACGATGTTGCGAGAAATTCAACCTTACTCCGCTGATACAGCTTCCTGCCCTCCTGCGACACGCCAGTGTCCCTCAAAGTCATCCCCGCTTGATTGGAGCCGCCAGATTCCAAGGATTAAGCACATTCGCCATTCTGTACGTCGACTCCTGAAAACTTTTGTTGTGCGAGACTTAAATGATGACAGATCTGATACTTTCTTTTTCTGTTTTGAAGGAGAACGATGCCCTCAGACACGATCAGCCTCCAACAACGCCGGAGATTATCAACAACAACCAACCAACAGGAGCTTCTGAAGAACTTTATAACTCCGACGTTCCAGGCAGTCCTCCAGCACTGCTCAATGGCGATCTCTTTTTCTATAACGCTGAAGACTATGCGTCCTTGGGGGAAGAATCACCGTCAACCTGGTTATTTTCACCATCCCAGAGCGCTTTGCCTTCTACTGAAACGTCACCATCTCGGACATCTCATTCCTGTTATGAAGATCAGAGTTCTTTCCTGGAACCTAATGTGTGGAGCAGCGTACCAACCTCACATACTCCAGCGGGAGCAAAACCAGAGAGTATCATCGAACAGGAATGTCTTCCACTGGGTGCAGAATGTCTGTCATCCAGTGACAGGCTGCCAGATAAGCCTGCTAGCGGTAAGGACGCGTTAATTCCTTCGGACTATGGCTATTTTACTTATCTTCTCTTTCTGGCAATCTTGCAGGTTATTTCGGTATGCCTGATAGCATTGAGAGTGATGTGGAGGCAGAGCAGGCGGTTGACAATTTTGCACCGTTGGGGCCGCTTTATTCGTGTGACGCAGACAAGACACGTCAATCTGGAGAGCTGGTTGCGTCAGATCTGAGAATCGTTCTGCCCTCGCGAGACCGTCCAAGCCTAAGAAGGACCAGAGATAGCAGCTGCAGTGCGTGGTCAAATGGTGAGCTGACAGATGAGGAGAGGTTACTGCTCCAGCTGATGGCATTGCAGAGGCGCAGCAGCGAGTTCGATATGAAAAGGGCCAATGTCAAGGACCTAGCTGAACATGGAGACGACAGGAGGAACAGAGGAAGTCACAATGTTTGCTTCTCACAAGTTGAGCAGGGAATATTGGAGGCTCCACAAAGCCAAGGTAAGGAATTCTTTCATTCCTATCTGTCCCATCATTCACAGCTGTGCTTACATGCAAAAGTTTTGTTGGCAGAAGGTCCTCATCATTTAGCCAACCTGACTACACATCAACAGACTACTTCCGCAGAACCTTTTGCTGCAGGAGCTCAATCTGATCCGTCACCCCTTCACGCCTCTGAGGGTTTTGCAGTTTCTGCCCTTCCATATTTGCCACAACTGGAGTCGCCATCAACAGCACCTGCAGCAATCATATTGGATCTCTCAGCAGCACCACCACTTTCCATAACTACTGCTCCTCTACCACCTCCCTCTGCCCCTCCTCCTCCCCCTCCGCCTCCCCCTCCCCCTTCATCGACCCTTCCATCACCTCCTCTTTCTCTTCCTCGTCCTCCTCCTCCTCCTCCTCCTCCTCCTCCTCCTCCTCCTCCTCCTCCTCCTCCTCCTCCTCCTCCTCCTCCTCCTCCTCCTCCTCCTCCTCCTCCTCCTCCTCCTCCTCCGCCTCCTCCCCCTCCTCCTCCTCCTCCTCCTCCTCCTCCTCCTCCTCCTCCTCCTCCTCCTCCTCCTCCTCCTCCTCCTCCTCCTCGTCCTCCTCCTCCTCCTCCTCCTCCTCCTCCTCCTCCTCCTCCTCCTCCTCCTCCTCCTCCTCCTCCTCTCCCTACTACTCCTAATCCTACTCCTCTTCTTACTTCTCCTACTCCTACTCCTCCTCCTCCTCCTCCTCCTCCTTATTCCACTCCTCCTTGCACTCCTCCGCCTCCTCCTACCTCTCCTCCTCCTCCTCCTCCTTATTCCACTCCTCCTTGCACTCCTCCGCCTCCTAATACCCCCCCTCCTCCTCCCCTTTCTACTCCTCCTTATACTCCTCTGCTTCCTCCTATTCCTCCTCCTCCTTTTTCTACTCCTCCTTCGACTCCTCCGCCTCCTCCTACTCCTCCTCCTCCTCTATCCACTCCTCCTACTCCTCCTTCCACTCCCCCTCCTCCTCCTCCTCCTCCTAATACCACTAGTACTACTTCTCCTCCCTTTCCTCTTACCACTTCTCGTACTTGTACTTCCCCCCTTCCAACGCTTCCGCCTCCTTCTCTGTCGTCTCCACCTCATACTCCTGCTCATCTGCATCCGCCTCCTCCTCGTCCACTTCCTCCTCTTCCTCCTACATTTCTTCCCCTACTCCCACCAACTCTGCCCTCATCAGCTGAAACGCAACTTCCACTGCCCTTGTCGTCACCAGCCTTGCAGCATCCACTGTTTCTTCCTCCTGGCAATGATCATCTGCCCCATCCTCATCATGAAGATGATGACTCGCTTCATTTGGACGCACTAGATGATCCGTTGCAACACAAGGAGGGCAATGAGAATGTTGACGCCGAGTTGAATCTGCCTGACACTCTTACCCCCGTGCTCTGCCCTGCCTATTGCAATATGTCTGATGAGCTGACGTGCTTATCTCCTTCAAGGCTGGCGACCATTCCAGAGGAAGACACCTTGGACCAGATGGGCATTCTCGATGTACAAGGCGTAGCTTCAGAAGGCAGTGACCATTCTGAGGTCGTTTGTTCAGGTGACAAGCATCCCACTAATAGCTCGCTAACCAATGAACATGAGGAACTGGATCTGGTGAGTATGGAAGTGCTGCAGCCTTGAGTCCGTTTTTTATCTGAGAACTTACTGACATTAATAATTCTTGCTCCACAGAGTCCAGTTGGTGGTGTCCTTACAAGTGGGAGCGAGAATTTACATGAGGTGAGTTTGAGAGCGACAGGGGTGTTGCTTCCGTATGTCGGCTGCTTAATGGCAATTACACTCTATTTTTGTTCAGGCTCTCCAGACAACGTCGCTCTCCACACTGCTTGATGAAGCATCCGAAATTGCAAGCGGTGGGCTTTTTATTCGTTCATTGTGTTCGTGTGTGCTATAGGGTATGTCTGATTTTGTTGCGGCTCACTCATTTGAACCAATGTTCAGGTCACGAGATAACATGTGCTTCTCCTTCACGGCTGGCAACAATCCGAGAAGGAGAATGCCCAAACCAAACTGGAAGTGCCTGCCTAATTGACATGGTCCTTAATGATGTTGATTTATCTAAGACCCTTGGCAAGGATCAGGAGGTTTCTGCCAATGTCTTGCTAGCAAGTGAAAATAAGGCAAGTTCTTCCCTGGTCTCTGTATGGCCATCATCAACTACAGAGCTTGAACAACAGTTTATTCCTCCTTGTGCAGGGCTATGTCGATGCTGTTGTACTGACCCGTGAAAACGAGGGTCTCCATGAGGTGGGCTTAGAAGTAGCGTGCGTGCATTCTGGTTATGCCTTCTGCTGCCGGTGATGATACTCTGTGCTCTCCCTACACAGGATTCCATTGATGCTGCACGAACTCGTGAAACTGAGGAAGTTAATCATGTGAGCTTGAGGGTACCAATAACTTTTCGTTTCTGCCGATGGTCTATTCCGTCACTGACCATCAACCTTCATACTTCAGCAGCCAACCTCAACAGTTTTGGCATGCCAAGTGCTTGATGCAGAAGCCGACAGCATAAAGGGTATGGTTCATGCTCTGAGGTGTCTCCATATTATGAAAGCAGTTCACTTGTCCGCTCAAGCTTAACCACCATGCAGATAACGGTCAATCATCTTTGTTAAACCGGACTGCAAGCTCAGAACCGCGGCCAGTTCTTTTGCTTCCGGAAAAGGCGGACAGTGTGGAAAAATCTGATATGTTCTTTACGAATGATACATTTTGTGCTGGTCGCTGCTCGTCTGACGAGAGTGCCAATTTATATGGAGTAAGTTTGAGCTTATTTCTTGTCTTCTGGACTCGGCACGCCTGAATCATTCTCCTATGCAGGATATTGCTGAGAATGTGACGACTGATGACGACAAGGTCTGTGAGGTACGTTCAGGAAATTGCCTAAGTCTGTATAGTAAGCATGTTTTTATAACTGCGCATTGTGTCCCTGCGCAGTTGAGCTATCCCCTGGATGTTCAACAGCCACCTAAGCCAGGTATGTTCACAATCACGTTGTGCCAGCTGATTCAGAATGTCATGATTCATAATGGCAATCGCTATGCAGTTTCAGAGTCAATGCACCTCACTCGGCCAATGATGGCAACGAGTCCAGAAATAGAGTGTCCAGTTTCTCCATATGTTTATCACACATCCCCCAAGAATGTCGAACCGACTGAACTTTCCGTGCCGGGTTACAATGCTCACACCGATCATTTACTGACCGACAAAGATGATTGTTTGGATGAGGTAAGAGGAACATTTAATTTTGAGCCGCTGGTGCCGTTTTGGACTAGTACTCAACCGTGTGCCTGTCTTCAGATTTCTGCAAGTGGCATTCCAACCCATGAGAATAAATATATCCAGAAGGTGAGCCCCTTTTACTTCTGATTTCGGCACAACCGTTCACTAACCATTGGGTTTCCATTTCCCAGCCAAACTCATTGGTCATGGTTGCGTGTCTGAAGGCTGGAGAGGAAGAAGCCATTGAAGGTATCACTCCCTATATTGCATCTGAGGACGATATAGTTATGTGGTCTTTTTATTTGCAAACGGTGCAGAAAATGTGAATACCATGTCTGACAATGAGTCATCATTGGAATCTGCAAGCATCCCTGAAGGTACTTAACGATTTTTCTCTTTCATCAGGGTTGGAGAGAGGTAGTCGATTATTCCTTTGCCTCGTTCTTTAACCCATCTCGAACTCTGGCAGCCCGTGGCACCAAACGGAATGACCGTCATGGTTTGGAGGTGGATTGTCTGATTGAGCCAAGCGAGATCTGTTCTGCAGATGAACTGCATTCTAAACGGCTGAAAAGCACTGTAGCTTCAAGGAGCAATGCTCGTGGAAATTCCCTGCAGCCTACTTGCCGAATGTCACTTGATGAATGGCTTGGATCGGGATCTCGCCCGGACATGAAGGAAGCCATGGAGGGCCGGCACATAGAGCTGCAAACAGTGCATCTTGCCTTGAAGGCAGAAGGCGATCAGGAGCAGCTCACTGGTGCTCCCGTGTCCTCGACTGCCTGTTCTGCGTCTCCCGGTAAGCTGCGGAAGTGCTTTATGCTGTGGGAACAGTATCTTAGCTGTTGTCCATGGTGCAGGTCAAATTGTACATCAGCTTCAAGTCGAGAGCAGCAACGAGAGCCCATCTCGGAACGTGGTACCCATGACCTTGGATGGTGTTGATGACAAAGAAATATGCGCAGAAGCTGTTGAGCTGTCACCAATCCCACGTATGGATGAGTCAACAGCCCCCCTTGAATTGCCATGTTGTGAAGCAGCGACTACACAAGAGCCAGTGGAAGGTGAGATGAGCAACTGTGTTCTATTTATTGGATTTGGGCTTGTATACACTGATGGCAGGTTGTGCTTAACGATCTCTCCTTTTCTGCCAGATGAATATGCGACAGAGGATCCTGCTCAAGTGAGCATGCAGCAACCATCGCAAACGCTTTTCCCAAGTGAAGCTTCTGGTAGCCGTCTTTCAGAAATTCTTCCTCCAGAACCACATGAGAAGACCATAACAGGGACAGCCTCAACGCTCACACAACAGATTGTGACCAAAGGTAGCGATGGGAGTTCCACGGCTGCTATTGGAAACGAGGCGGGTGGATTTCAGAAGCAGCCAGGCGTCGGGGTATCAGGTTGTGGCAAACGCCAGTCTGGTGCTACTGGTGGTAGTTCTGCAGTCAAGGGAGCCCAGAAAAGGAAGGGCAAAGGACCTCGAGTCTGTCGGAGGGCTGAAAATAACACACTTGCTGGAGTGAAAGCGTGTGGATGCAGCATTATGTAGATTCAGATACCGTACCATATGCTGCAGCATTCATTAGACTTTCGCTGCTGTATTGCCGTTGTGGGGGGTCACAATACCCAATACATGTACTGCTTATAACTTTATCTATCAACAACATAACTAGTAAACTGGAGATACGGTACCTGATTATCCTTCGAATATGTCGGAATTGTCATTATTGCATAAAGCAAATTATATAATAGAGATGCAAATACAATGTGATTTAGAAGAGTGATCTAGAGAATGTGTTGTTAGAATACTAGGTAGCTAGGGAAGCCATAGAATGGCATGAGGTTTTAGGCTAGGAGAAATATCGAGAGAGAAGAGTATGAGATTAGAAGAGAGAGAGAGGGATACAAGGAGGGAATTGTTGTAAAACATATTTGTGTAAGTTTAGTAGACTACATATGGACTTGCCATATAGAGTACAACCCACTAGCTATATACCCCTGTATCCACTCATTCTAATTATTCGTTCTAACTTTGAGATGGTATCATGAGTAGGTTAGGTCCCATCCGCCCACCCGTGCTTCCGCCTTAGGTCCTAGCCTTCCCCGTTGCCTAGCTCCTAGCCGCCCCAAGGGCCCCGCCGCCCTGTTGCCTTGCTGGCCCCACGGCCCCGTTCCCTAGCACCTAGCCGCCCGTGGCCCCGCGGCCCGGTCACCTAGCGCCTCTCCCCTGCGGCCCCGCTCCCCTAGCTCCTAGCCGCCCGTGGCCCCGTCGCCCCCCGTCACCTAGCGCCTAGCCGCCCACGGCCCCGTTGCCCCGCCCCGTCACGCCTAGTCGCCCCGCTGGCCCCGCAGCCCCGTCGCCCCGCTGGCCCCGCAGCCCCGTCGCCTAGCGCCTAGCCGCCCGCGGCCCCGTTGCCCCGCCCCGTCGGGCCTAGCCGCCCCGCTGGCCCCGTGGCCCCGTCGCCTAGCGCCCAGCCGCCCTGCGACCTAGCCGCCTCGTCGCCTAGCCGCCCCATGGCCCCGTAGCCCAGCCGCCCCGCGGCCTCGTCGTCCAGCCGCCCCGCGGCCCCTCGCGGCCCCGTCGCCCGTCGCCCCTCCGTGCCGCGGCCTCGTCGCCCAGCCGCCCCCCGGCCCTGCTGCCCATTCGACCCGGGCCCCGTCGCCCTGCTGCTCCGCGGCCCCGTAGCCCAGCCGTCCCGCGGGCCCGTTGCCCAGCTGCCCCGCGGCCCCGTCTCCCAGCTGCTCAGCCGCCGTAGTTCTCAGTCCTCGCTCGCTCCACCTGCCCTCTCTACCGTCCTGCACCGCGCCCCACCGTGCCGCACTGCCCAGCACCGCCATGCACCGCACTGCATCGTACTGCACCGCACTGCATCGTACTGCACCACACTGCACCGCATTGCATCGCCCTGAACCGCGCCCCACCGCACTGCACCGCGACCCACCTCATTGCACCGCACTGCATTCTGCCCCACCGCACTCTAACGTACAGCCCTCCATCCCACCGTCCCTCCTCACTCCGTCGCCGTTTGTTCGCGGTTGCAGCAGCCCCCATGGCGGATTCGGTGCTGCGCTTTGACGCGGAGGGTCAGCCAATTGAGTTCGACTCCTGGCTCGTCGATCTCAGCCGTCACCTCACTGGTTAGCGGCAGGATGGCCACTCCCTGACCGTCCATATTGACAGTACGCTCCCCTGCCCTGACCCCCCTGTTGCTCTCTCCGCTGACCCCACGACTGCTGACCGTGAGTCCGCCGCCGCTGCTGCCCTTGCTCGTGCTGTCTGGCTGTCCTGCGACGCTGTCACTCAGCTTGCGCTTAGCCATACCCTAGCCCTGTCGGAGCGCCCCCGCTTTAAGTCGGTCAGGACTGCGCAGGAATTCCTAGAGGCTGTAGCCAAGCGTTATTCCACCCCGTCCTCTACCTCTGCTCGCCGCCTGATCCTCCCCATGCTCTTCCCTGATATCGCGTTTTTCCCTACTATCGCAGACCTGGCCATGCACCTGCGCACGCTCGACGCTAACAGGCGCGCTACCTGCACTGAGGCCCAGCTTCGTGTGTTCCAGCCCCCTATTTGCTCTACCATTACCTGTTTGCCACCCGCCTCCCCGACCGCCTTGCCACTGCCCGCGACCACTTTCTTTGTGAGAGTACGACACCGTTACACCAATTTCCCCTTTCCATATTTTCTTTCTATTTAATTCCTCTTTTTATCCTGATTCATTTGGTCTTTATCTCATCTCATTTGGTTTCCTATTCCTCCTTTTCCATTATCCTTTGGTTTATCCTGTTATTATAATTATATCACCGACCAAGCTTGGGATGTACTGGCGCGCTATATCTATCGTAATCCTGCCGTAATCCCGTATAGCCAATAGCCTCGCGTGGCTATACGCAGGGTGATTCTATTTCTAGAAGGGTCTATTCCCCTTGGATAGGATAAACCTAGTTACCTGATGTACCCTGGAAGTATAAAAGCACCTTGTACTGATTGATAGTGCAACATTGAGCAAACATTTCATCGACACATTCGATCCTGTGACACTTGGTATCAGAGCCAAGGTTTCAGCTCAACGCTTAACCGCTGGGCCCCCAAGAGCACGCCGAGGATGGAGTTGAAACTTCAATTCTTGTAAGTACAATGCATTTTCATTTAAGTTTCGACTCACCTCGCGCCGTTGCACCTGGGGTCCCCATCGAAGGCGAGACGCCTCGCCGACCGTTCGATGGACTGCATCGACGGAGCCGATTTTTTCGCAGGGCAAACGGCCTCGACCTCGCGAACGCGTCACTTCTGGCGGAACACTCCCTGCGACATTCCGAGGAGTTCGCAGTTCGCGATGACACTTGGAGTTGCGCGGAAATCTGCACAGCTGCGACCGACGACATCCGTCCGATGGGGATTCGACGCTTCAGATCGACCGAGGCAAAAACGAAATCCTGCTGAGCGAGTTCGAGTTTCAGCGCGAACGGGAACGGGACCTCGCAAGCCGCGAAATTATTCGGAGCGTCCGATCGTTCGACAGCCGACATCGACGACCGAGAATTGCTGCAGGAAACGAGTCCACCCGGGCACCAAAACTTGCTGAACGCGACTCAGGAATATCTTCAGATCGCTTGGACTTGCACCGTCGGATCGACGTCTACTTCATTGGACGAGATGGAGCGAGACTTCTGCACAAAGGGAGAATGACGCGCAGAACCAGAAATCAGCCGCCTTCGACATCGTTGAAATCACCTGGACAACCAAATTCGGATTCCTCAATTTGGTCACGAATTTGAGGCGCGAAATCATCTGCAAAGTCAGAAATTTGCCAGAGTATTACCTACTTGATAATAGCTGCAAGCAAAAAACTGACAGGAGAACGTGGATCGTTGGATCGTTGCGGAATCAACGGCACGAATGCAGCGAAGACTACACTATGGGAAAACATCATCATAGAGACAACATTCGTGACCAGCGACTGCACAATCGACGCATCTTCTAATTAGTGTCGATAACGATCGATTTATCTTGTTGAAGTAATCTTCGTTAAAAATGGATCGACATCAACACAACGGATCTTCACCCAGGAAAAACAATGGAGCTGCGTGAAGACATGTTCTCCATCCATGAGATGCTTCATCTCAAAAATTTGATTGACAACCTATGGGATTGCAGAGAAGTAGCCATTAAGTTGCTGCGAAGGAGCAGATTTCGCACGCAACGGCGACGCAGTGAACCCGTCTCGTCAAGGCCAGCGAGACACTACTTTGTAACAGGAGCTGACCGATTCGTTTTCATCAAGAATCTCAGTCTTCCGAAGTGATTAGTTGGAGCAGTCTCAACATCGACCTCACCAGGCGACACACCAATCATGCGTCGCCATTCCAAGTGTTAATGACCTGCGTGGAATTTTGTCCGTGCATGTCACGATGCTTGACAGATTGAGAAGTAATTAACCTCAAATCCGGCACGTACTCGCTCACTAGCGACCCTACGGCACATGCATTGGAGGCGATTCTACCAGAAGCCGAAGCGTTACAAGCACCACCGTAACCTCGACGATGTAGGAGGACGCCAAGCAATACGAGCTGTCAACAAATGAGGGAGATGCGGACTACTACAACAAGATCACATGCTTTACCGACCGTACATCGGAGGCACGGATGAGCATACCAGGAATTGCTACCCGTGGTTACATTGAGGGGAGAAGCAAATTCCTCTTCATACCCTCAAATGAAACAATCACCGGCAGTAATGGAGCAACACATGTGTACAAATGTGCACGTGTTCCTGGTAGTTACGCCTGTTACACCCATTAGGAACACTCTACTGGGAAGAGGGAGTTGATGGATTCTCCTTCCACCGGTACGAGTTGAGAGAATTCTCTGCAGCCGTCGCCGTCGTCGCAACCGCCGCTGCCGCCGCAGCAGAAGACTCGACACAACAGTCATATCCAAACCCTGATGGATGATTCTCCACTCAATGGAGATAATGCTGGATTATATTCCAGTGGATCGTCAAGTCCTGGTCAGGCACATTAATTTCCAGCTAGTGGGAAGGAGATACCACTATGCGAGGAAACAACATGGCAATGCCATATACCCTCAAGAGCAGGAGATATTTGCTCTTATGAGGATGGGAGGACTACGGTACTCTACCGGTATACAAGTCTCCATGGCCTATGGCTTTCCTTAAGGTCATAAAACCTGCATCACAACCAATCCATCACCAGCACCACCTCCACGGAAGCAGATAGGCGTAAAATGGAGCGCCGACGCCACTTCGGACAGTGGACTACGCGTATCTCCAGCAACACCCCTATTTGCCGAAATGGAGCAGACTTCAACATTGATGCTGAGTAGCTGAGACAGCTTCGACATCAACGCTACTTCAAGGACAGTGACAGAATGAGACAACACATGATGGCACTAGAAGACCTATCCCAATATGTGCACCGAGACACTGATGCCTACCGATGGCCTCCGTGCTAAACTGGAAGTGCATAAGGTTATACTGGATTGGCTATCAGTAATGCTCATTTGGAAATGGGAGAGGATTATTTGGGAATAGCCCCAACATTCCCAAATGTCCTAACCCATCACTGTGGGATATCTACGCAGCCGAGATTCCTTGCTTGAGCAACCACCGAGGGAAACTACTTTGGCGCCGATTCTTGAAGTT